ATTCTTCCCATTATTCACAATGTCTGTTCAATTCAAACAATAATGGCGACTGTCCTTCTGCGCAGGCGCAGCTTCCTGTTTTCTATGACAAATATTATTAAATACAGTATGGCCATCTATTTACATATAACTACTGTATTTCTGGAAAATATATACAGTATTTTCCACAGCAGTTATGTGTGCCATGAAGGGAGTCACAATCAATAAGGATCCAGGAGAATAAGGTAATGCATTGCTCATAATAAGTAAATAATAGGAGGCAGCTCCATGAATAAATAGAATGAAACTGTGGAAATAAATGGTATAAAATACCGACACAATGGAAATATAAACACATATGCAGTATAATGTGATCCTTTATTGACTACGTTTCGCCCACACAGTGGGCTTTTTCAAGTCACAAACAGATCTACCTGAGGTGGAAGGGATGCGAGTATTTATAGTCAGGTTCAGAATGCTGAGGTCAGGTGGAGAATGCTGCATCATCAGATGCATCATTAGATGCAGCATTCTCCACCTGACCTCAGCATTCTGAACCTGACTATAAATACTCGCATCCCTTCCACCCCAGGTAGATCTGTTTGTGACTTCAAAAAGCCCACTGTGTGGGTGAAACGTAGTCAATAAAGGATCACATTATACTGCATGTGTTTATATTTCCAGAATGAAACTACATATCCACCTGCTCACCTCTATGACATGACAGTAGTGCAGTTGTTCACCAAGAACCATCTCTTATCATACATGGTGTACAATACCAGGATAGCACCTCCAGCAATGACTGAGTAAGGCTTGATAAAACTGCCTATTTAGACAAGGGCACTAACTGTTCAAGTAACTATCAGTTAAAGTCCGAGGCAGCTACGGTGAAAAGCTCTGTTCCACAAGGCACAGTACTCGCTCCCATCTTGTTCCTCATCCTCATATCCGACATAGACAAGGATGTCAGCCACAGCACCGTGTCTTCGTTTGCAGATGACACCCGAATCTGCATGACAGTGTCTTCCATTGCAGACACTGCAAAGCTCCAGGCGGACATCAACCAAATCTTTCAGTGGGCTGCAGAAAACAATATGAAGTTCAACGATGAGAAATTTCAATTACTCAGATATGGTAAACATGAGGAAATTAAATCTTCATCAGAGTACAAAACAAATTCTGGCCACAAAATAGAGCGAAACACCAACGTCAAAGACCTGGGAGTGATCATGTCGGAGGATCTCACCTTCAAGGACCATAACATTGTATCAATCGCATCTGCTAGAAAAATGACAGGATGGATAATGAGAACCTTCAAAACTAGGGAGGCCAAGCCCATGATGACACTCTTCAGGTCACTTGTTCTATCTAGGCTGGAATATTGCTGCACACTAACAGCACCTTTCAAGGCAGGTGAAATTGCCGACCTAGAAAATGTACAGAGAACTTTCACGGCGCGCATAACGGAGATAAAACACCTCAATTATTGGGAGCACTTGAGGTTCCTAAACCTGTATTCCCTGGAACGCAGGAGGGAGAGATACATGATTATATACACCTGGAAAATCCTAGAGGGACTAGTACCGAACTTGCACACGAAAATCACTCACTACGAAAGCAAAAGACTTGGCAGACGATGCACCATCCCCCCAATGAAAAGCAGGGGTGTCACTAGCACGTTAAGAGACCATACAATAAGTGTCAGGGGCCCGAGACTGTTCAACTGCCTCCCAGCACACATAAGGGGGATTACCAACAGACCCCTGGCAGTCTTCAAGCTGGCACTGGACAAGCAGCTAAAGTCAGTTCCGGATCAGCCGGGCTGTGGCTCGTACGTTGGTTTGCGTGCAGCCAGCAGCAACAGCCTGGTTGATCAGGCTCTGATCCACCAGGCGGCCTGGTCACAGACCGGGCCGCGGGGGCGTTGACCCCCGGAACTCTCTCCAGGTAAACTCCAGGTAAACTCCAGAGGTCTCACTGGAAGGTCACATGACATGCCCTAAGATGATACATTTTCCAATGGATATAGTAATGCAACTACCACAGTACTACCAATGGACGTTACTAAAGTTATAAGAAGACTGACAGTGATTCTTTTTTCTTTTGTCAAGAAGTTGGATTCCCCCAAAGACAAAAAAAAAATCTCTAAATAAAGAAAAAAACAGGGAGGGTTGGGTAACTAAATTCGATCTGAAAAGTCTCATTACTTGGGTCAAAAGCCCTTTTACTGCAGGTGTAAAATTGACTGTAATCACATACTATAGTGAATGCAATCTTTCAAATTGGCTGCAATAATTAAGAACCTGATAAAGACCCACTGTGACTCCCACACGCCTTTGGGAGAATGCTGAGTGATCTACCAGTTTGAGCACTGAATAATCAATCAGGTCAAAACACTGACCTGGTCTAATTGTTGAGTAATGTCAAAGCTTCTTTCTGTACTACAATACAGGCTGGAGCTATGGGTGCACTGTAAACTAGCCACTCTGAGGGCACAAAGCAAACAAAAAAACATGTTCACCTGCAGGGGCTCCTGTAAGGTCTCCTGCAGGGGGTGTGGCTGGATGTGATCCTGGCCAGCCTCAGCGTCCATTGCAACATCAGGAGGCGCTGCCACCTGCAGATTCGGTGACCGACTAAACCTGTCACCTGCCAAAATAAATATATATTAAAAAAGGACAACCTATAACCAGGAGTCTTAGTCATCAGCTTGTCGGTATTGTATACTATCACTCAGTAATATAATACATGTCTAACACAGCAACACTATGATATCTTGGTACATGGAAAATCTTTTGCAACTCCTTGATTAAACAACTGACCCGCTGGCACTAGTAGGCCACTCTCACCTGTGACATCACCTCCAGCTGCTACACCTCACTTCTGCTCCAGTATATAATTTCTGGGTGCATGGTTCTGCTTTAGGCTGAGGGACTGACCACCATCTATCAAGGCTGAGGGACTGACCACCACCTATCAAGGCTGAGGGACTGACCACCACCTATCAAGGCTGAGGGACTGACCACCTATCAAGGCAGGAATGACCACCACCTGTTAAGGCTGAGGGACTGACCACCACCTGTCAAGGCTGAGGGACTGACCACCACCTGTTAAGGCTGAGGGACTGGCCATCTCTGTGTTACGCTTTTTAATGTCTCGAGTGTTACATTAGCCTATATATTTGACTGAAGAAGCCTGTTTTACAGGTGAAACGTTTTGGCTATAGATAATTACGTGGTGGACATGACATGTGTGTTTATTCATCATCAACTTTGTGGTATACTATCAACAATATGATACTTACTGAGGGTGGTTGAGGGTAAGTTATAGGCGTGCTGGGAGAAGCTCACCCACGCCCACAACAGTAGGAGAACAACTACGCCCACACGAACCGCCCGCCACCGCCCACCTCGCTGAAGTCGTACACCTGAATACAAACATCTGGAATTAATGGGAGATTGCATTTCATGGAGTGCTAAACCCATGTTGGGTCGTTCTCAAGGACCCCATTTTAAATGTCACTTTTATTTATTTATTTTATGTATTTTATGTCTTTGCAAACAGTACACTGAGATTTTATATTTACAATAGTTGGTTGCGATTAGGACCCAACTAGGCATTATGGCATACAATACTTACTACAATGATTACTATGGATTTTATCATAGTTGTACAGTAGGACAGTAATTATTTCATAGTTGAACAGTAGATTATTAATTATAACTGAATTAAATTTGTATAAGACAAAGGATATATTCATATAGTCTAAAATGCTTTTTGTGGAAAACAATGGTTCAGTTATATTCCTGTCAACAAAGGATAAAAGGTTCAAAGTGATTGTTGAAGTTATGATGTGGGAGTACATAGGTGAGTATGTGTGTATTGAGTATTTAGCGTTTAGTCTAGGGTGATTAAGTGGCTTTTGAGGAGAGTCTTAAACTGATTTTCAGACTGGGTTACTTTAACATCTTCTGGTAATGAATTCCATATTTTAGGGTCCTTTATGTGCATAGAGTTTTTACAGTGTGATAAGGACACGAGGTATATCAAAAAGAGATCTGTCTTGTGTTGTGGTCATGTGTCCTGTTAAGTTGGTAAGGAGAAGTTTGAGTGGAGGGTTTATATTTGCGTGTATTGTTCTGTGTATGTAGTAGGCACATGAATAAGTATGGATGTTCTTAATGGTGAGCAGATTCAGACTTTTGAAAATTGGTGGAGTGACTTGGACTTTTTTTTGTGTTATCCTACATAATCTACACATGTGCTGCTATGTATATTTTATGAAACTGGATTTATGTGTTCCTATACCTGAATAGCTGTATGACCCTTGTAAGTTTAGCGTTTTTTTATAATAATAATAATAATAATAATAATAATAATAATAATAATAATAAATATACCTGAATAAACTTATTCAGTGCAGAAATGATGGAGGCTTCAATGACCACTGAACGAGATTCATTCTTACGTGAATCGTGTGTGAAACGTGTTATTCTCGTTTTCTCTCTCTCTCTCTCTCTCTCTCTCTCTCTCTCTCTCTCTCTCTCTCTCTCTCTCTCTCGTTGATATTGCTAGTGGTGGTGTTGGTGCAGTTGCTACTGGTGATGGTATTGGTGGTGATTATGGTGACTGTGATTGTGTTGGTGGTGGTGCTGGAGTTAGTGATGTTTGTGCTGTGCTGGTAATGACGTTGGTGATGGTGACGGTGATGCTGTTGGTGTTATAAGTACTGCTTTGTTAGTAATGGTTGTAGTGGTTAATGGTAGATAAAGAGAGAGAGTAGTAGCAGCAGTGATGATGGCGGTAATAGTAGTAGTGATGACTGTTCCACTTCCTGATAACTCTATGACTGAAGAAATACTAATATCCCTGTGTCTCATCTGAGTCTTCAACGTCCAATAAATAACAAAAAAAAGGCACAATACCGTGACTGGAACGATACACAAATAACCTGCACATAGAAGAGAGGAGCTTACTTTGCAAATGGTCGAGTCGGACCGAAACGTCGTCGTAAGCTTCTCTCTTCTATGTGCTGGTTATTTGTGTTTCAACTTCCAATGCCCGAAATCCTCTACATATTAAGGGACTTTTGGCATGTACACCCAATTGTTATACACCTTTATACAAACAGGTATCTTGCTGAAATAAAAATTATTATTATTATTATTATTATTACTGGCAGTCTTCAAGCTGGCACTGGACAAGCACCTAAAGTCGGTTCCTGACCAGCCGGGCTGTGGCTCGTACGTTGGTTTGCGTGCAGCCAGCAGTAACAGCCTGGTTGATCAGGCTCTGATCCACCAGGAGGCCTGGTCACAGACCGGGCCGCGGGGGCGTTGACCCCCGGAACTCTCTCCAGGTGATCTTTTGTTGCTGTGTCCCATCTCTGGAACATCCTATATCTGTCCACCTTGTCGATTCCTCTCAGTGTTTTATATGTCATTATCACGTCCTCCCTGTTCCTCCTGTCCTCTTAGCCTCTCCTCGTAGGGCATGCCCCTTATCTCCGGGACTAGTCTCGCTGCAAACCTTTGTACTTTCTCTAGTTCCCTGGTGTGCTTAGCCAGGTGAGGGTTCCAAACTGGAGCTGCATACTCCCATATATGTGTGTACTCAACTTATGTGCTTACCTATATGCGGTTGCAGGGATTGATTCACAGCTCCTGGCCCCGCCTCTTCGTTGGCGCTACTAGGTGCACTCTCTCCTGGCTTCAAGACCCCTGGCAGTCTTCAAGCTGGCACTGGACAAGCACCTAAGTCGGTTCCTGACCAGCCGGGCTGTGGCTCGTACGTTGGTTTGCGTGCAGCCAACAGTAACAGCCTGGTTGATCAGGCTCTGATCCACCAGGAGACCTGGTCACAGACCGGCCGCGGGGGCATTGACCCCCGGAACTCTCTCTACGTAAACACCAAGTACCTCTTCACAAAGCTATTTATGGATCTCTCCTCTACCACTTCCCCTCAAGGAAGGTTCCTTGATATTGGTGATGGGCTCTTGATTTAGGGAATTGGATCTGTGCTCCAGTTCCCCGAATTAAGCCTGAATGCCTTCCACATCCCCCCCCAGGCGCTGTATAATCCTCCGGGTTTAGCGCTTCCCCCTTGATTATAATAATAATAATAATCCTCTACCACTTCACTCTCCAGTCTGTTCTACTTCCTGATAGCTCTTAAGCTGAAAAATACTTCCTGACATCTCCATGACTCATAATTTTTTCAACTTCCAGTTATACCCTCTTGTTTCTTTTCCCATTTCTGAAATACTACGTCCCTGTTCACCTTGTTAATTCCTCAGTATTTTGTACGTCGTTATCATGCGTGCGTGCGCGCGCGTTTTATCCATAATGGACACTGATTAAGTCGTAATAAACAAGTTATCATAGCGTATCCTCTTATAATGTCAGCATATTGGGATACACTATCATGTAGTGATCCTTTGGTTTGGATGGGATGTTGAAACGAAGCTCGGGTAGGCCAGTGGATGTTTAGCCACTGAAGGGGTCATCATCTCATTAAGACCCGTGTCAGGAGACTGTTGTTTCCTGACGAATATAGCACCACCACCACCTGCCTCACTCTTACACTGCCTGCTACTGAGTTCATTCTCGCTTCGCTTCGTGAGCCCTATCATACCTATTCTTAAGGCTGTGTATAAATTCTGCCTCTACCACTTCAGTTTACCTGGAGAGAGTTCCGGGGGTCAACGCCCCCGCGGCCCGGTCTGTGACCAGGCCTCCTGGTGGATCAGAGCCTGATCAACCAGGCTGTTGCTGCTGGCTGCACGCAAACCAACGTACGAGCCACAGCCCGGCTGATCAGGAACTGACTTTAGGTGCTTGTCCAGTGCCAGCTTGAAGACTGCCAGGGGTCTGTTGGTAATCCCCCTTATGTGTGCTGGGAGGCAGTTGAACAGTCTCGGGCCCCTGACACTTATTGTATGGTCTCTTAACGTGCTAGTGACACCCCTGCTTTTCATAGGGGGATGGTGCATCGTCTGCCAAGTCTTTTGCTTTCGTAGTGAGTGATTTTCGTGTGCAAGTTCGGTACTAGTCCCTCTAGGATTTTCCAGGTGTATATAATCATGTATCTCTCCCTCCTGCGTTCCAGGGAATACAGGTTTAGGAACCTCAAGCGCTCCCAGTAATTGAGGTGTTTTATCTCCGTTATGCGTGCCGTGAAAGTTCTCTGTACATTTTCTAGGTCGGCAATTTCACCTGCCTTGAAAGGTGCTGTTAGTGTGCTGCAATATTCCAGCCTAGATAGAACAAGTGACCTGAAGAGTGTCATCATGGGCTTGGCCTCCCTAGTTTTGAAGGTTCTCATTATCCATCCTGTCATTTTTCTAGCAGATGCGATTGATACAATGTTATGGTCCTTGAAGGTGAGATCCTCCGACATAATCACTCCCAGGTCTTTGACGTTGGTGTTTCGCTCTATTTTGTGGCCAGAATTTGTTTTGTACTCTGATGAAGATTTAATTTCCTCATGTTTACCATATCTGTGTCCAAGTTGTTCCAATTCCTCACAACTTGGCTACTGAAAAACTATTTGCTGACACCTATGACTTGTAACTATTTCTCACCTCTTGAATGGCGTGTTCCTCTATTCTATCACTTCCTCTGAGTATTTTGTATATCGTTGTTATGACTCCTGTGGTCCCTCTGTCCTCGAATATTATCAGGAGTAGCTCTTGCAGTTTCTCCTCATAGTTCATAATCCTCTTCCCTCATCCAGGACTAGTAAGTTTATTTAGGTACAGATATACATAAATACAATTATCATATCAAGTAACATGTGTAAATTACCTAGGATAACCCCAAAAAAGTGACATATCTATTGGGGTCCTCTGCACTTTTACAAATGTCTCTGGCATGCTTGATCAGGTGTTGGTTCCATGCTGATGCTGCATACTCCACAATGGACCTGGCCTAAGTTGTATAGTGCTGTGAACGATACTTGGTTTAAATTCCTAAAAGGCTGATCTTAGAATTCCCAGAGGTGCATTTGCTGTGAAGATTATTCAGTTGATGTGTGCCTCAGGCGATATGCTCGGTACTATGCTCACCCCGAGCTTGTACTCCATTTCTGGTTTTCTATACCCTTCTATATAATAATAATAGTTTATTTCTTTGAGCTATACAAATAATGTAGATAAATGTATTAGTACAATAGTAAGTTTATTTAGATACAGGTACACAAATTAACATACATAGTAACATGTGTGTAAATTACCTAGGATAACCCAGTGTTTTATAAGAAATTTCTGAAGTCCTTTTGGCACTTTTTCTATCTTAATTTATTGCTGTGTGGCTTCTTATTCGTCTTGTTGACAGCGTTAACAAATCTTTCTTATCTATTGAGCATATTAGCGTTTTATAATTTTGTGGTTATCATGTCTCCTTTTTATCTATATAATTAAATTACATGTACTGTAATAACTTTGATTCTGACCTGGAGAAATAAACAAAAGAAATATACTGAAGGTAATGAAAAAATCAAAATCAAAACATTTTTAATACAGGAAAAATAATTAAGCAATTGACAAGGAAAAGTACTCTATGCTGAGAGGTCAAGTACCATGATAAACATTTAATCTATAGCAAATATATTTCCATGATTATAACGGATTTTGTTCAAGGCTGAGCTGTGTTAACAAGAAATGTTATTGTGAAAATAACAAGAGTTCAATTAACATTAATTTGAGTAATGGGCACAGACCAAGATTCCTTACTTACATTTTATCATCTTGATAATGGAGTTGCCGTTATCATGTCAGTCCTACTTCAGCCTTCTAAAACACTTCCCCTCTAGCACCATTATAGAAGAAGCACTTCAGTTTCTCACATTTATGTTTATATATTTGTGGTTAAAAATAGCAAAAGCTTACATTAGAGCTCCCTTTCCAAAACCTGTTAACTGTATATTGCTTTGGGCTATTAAACGAGTTTTAGGTAATTAAGTAAAGAATAAGATTGTAACAAAATGATATTTGAGGAATAATAATATAAACAGACGTGTCACACAACAGAGAATATACTACAATAGCTCAGCGGAGGTATATCACCACAGTTCAAGAGGTCAACATCAATACAACACAGGTAACTTCACTACACGAACGGGGTCCTCATACTCAAGTTTTCCTTGGATTCAGGTCGTGTCACACGTTATTACTCATGTTTCTCACACATCAGCATCACTACTATATCACGAGGATATAGATTAAGTTAACACCACCTGCTTGTCTAGAAAGTCAAAAAAAATTCAGTAACAAGGTTATAAAGATGACGGAGAGCGCAGCAAACTACCACGCAGGACGCCGCCGTACCTGCAACTGTTCTTGTCTGGGCTCAACCACATCACTATCTTCTTCATTTAATCTATAACATTAAAACTATTTTCTTTCCACGCTTCAACTGCATGAAGACCAAAGTCCCGAGTGGCGGAAAACTTACCATAATTAAGCCATTGGCAAAAACTGTTCTAGTTTTTCACAAATAAAAAACATACACTGATAACTGCACAATATATTTCAGTTGTTGTCAGGTATTCTTTAACAAATATATTTATAAGTAAAACTAATACAAATGCAAGAGAAAATTGCACTAATGGATTATGAAATCTACAAAAACATTCCGGTAACTTAGGTTTCCCGTGAACTACAAGAAAAATCATATATTGCTGTTGATTATAGAGTAAAACCCATCATCCATTATAAGGTGGTAGCAGCAAGTTGAGGGTCAATGCATCATGGTACTAAACATCGTAAGTGATCTTTATTTACCTCCAAAATTAAGGTCGTTGAAACTCTGGCTTTATAAATTAGAGGTTAGTATGGATTGCATAAATAAAAACGAAAAAAATAACTATAATAAACAAGAACTTTAGAAGTTTCGATCTTAAGGATAAGCTGTAGGAAAGTAGAGTTATCATACCTTACCTGGTAGCAGCTAGCCCTGCCTGCCCGGCATCATATAAATTTTCTATCACTATGATTATAGACCATTATTATCTATGTTGTCCTTGTACACATACGACGACAAGCCTCAAAACCATGTTAAGAAAAAAAAGAACATCCCAAGTAAAAATCGTCCGTGTTTTTATTACAACAAGGACTCAGTGGGTATAGTCACTGTCTAACTTGGGGTTATCCAAGGACCTAGATAATTTACATATATGTCAAACTACATATGATAATGTGTACCTGTACCTAAATAAGCTTACTAACATTTGTACAACCGCATTGTGTGGTGAAGAATTATTCAATTATTAATCCTCGAGGGACAGTAACCCAGTAAAGCATTAGCTTTGTGATTTATTTTCATAAGTCACTGCGTGACTGATTTTCATTGAGATCCATTTTTAGGTCCTCAGGATGCGACCCACAACAGTTCGACTGGCTCCCAGGTGTCTATTTCCTGCTGAGTAACATAGGTAGCAGGTGCTACCTGGAGGATGATGGGAGACTTGTCCATAAATCCCGCCTCGTGGAGGGTTCAACCCCACGTTCCAGCTGGAGTCAGTCAAGGTTAAAGCAATACATATATTTGTCTGTAACACTCATACTGCACAAGGGGAGTTTTCTGTTATACTCCATCACACAGGACGTTACCTGTTATACTCCATCACACAGGACGTTACCTGTTATACTCCATCACACAGGATTTGACCTGTCATACTCCATCACACAGGATAATTTTTCCTGTCATACTTCATCGCATAGGATGCTTTTCTTGTTAAATTCCTTTACAAAGGATAATATTCTTGTTATATTCCATCACAAAGGACAGTTTTCTTGTCATTTTTCGTCACAGAATGGGTTTCCTGTCTTATTCTATCACATTACATTAACTGAGAGCGCGCTAAAACTGCAGGGGTTTTCAGCGCTCCCTAAATGGGAGGCATTCAGGTTTGATCCAAGGACATATACAATTCCTGTTTTTACAATTCCTTGGATCAAGGACCGTTCACCTGCATCAAGGAGCAACTCCCTTAAGGGTTTACCCGTCATATTCTAACATACAGGATGAGTTTCCTGTCTTATTATGGAGGATGACTTTTCCATCACATTCCATCGTGCAGGAAGGTTAGTAAGTTAATTTTGGCACAGGTACAGTTTTTGAATGTTTTCAATTGACTTGCATACTGCCTGAAATGCACCGCATGTTAAGATTTCGTTCGGATTTTTAACCCCGGAAGGTTAGCCACCCAGGATAACCCAAGAAAGTCAGTGCGTCATCGAGGACTGTCTAGCTTATTTCCATTGTGGTCCTCAGTGTTGTCCCCCAGGATGCGACCCACACCAGTCGACTAACACCCAGGTACCTACTTACTGTTAGGTGAACAGGACAACAGGTGTAAGGAAATGCATCGAAATGTTTCTACCCCGCCGGGAATCGAACCTGAGCCTTCCGTGTGTGAAGCGAGAGCTTTGCAACTTTCTTTTGTGTTTAACAATATTTTATTACATTTAAACTACATTTTATAATACAGAAAAATAAAGCTTGTTAACTCCTAATGGCTGTACGAGGTCTGGGAAATAACAGGTAATCATTTGATTCAAGGAAAAAAAAGTGTAGCTCCATTTTCCTGGATGAAGAACCCTCCACCACCATAAAGGAACCCCTCTTTAATAGTTGTCATCCTGTTGCGACGCAACAAGATGACTAGGAACATTGCCAAGAACAAGAAAAAGCCTTGACTGCAAGGTTCTTTTGTTGCCAGATTTACTTTGATGGACCGCCAAAGTAGAAGAAGACTTCTAACCATTTAAAACACGGTGGTTCTCTCTGAACACAACACTAGCATTAGTTTTTACCTAAAATTTTCATGTGACATGTTGCAAAGAAACAATATATTAAATCTCATCTATTTTGGACTCAGTGCACCTGTTTCCTCCTCTCAGGTGCGTAATAGTGGTCATATCCGATCTCTCTTCCTTTATCACACTGGATACCAAATTTTATAGAATTTTTTGTGCGATTTTTTGACGACTGATCAGTATTTTGTTATGTTGACTCTATAAATGAGCTTAGTTATTCATAGCAGCAACAGCTACACTAGGTGTTTGTCAGAAGGCAAAATACTAATCACGCATGTCAATTTATTTTGTTGAATGATAACTCGTAATGAAAATATTCATAATATATGTAAATACAAATAATCTCAGAGCAACATTATACCATATTAAACGCTACAGAAGAAAATAATAATAATAATTAATAATGATTCATAATGATAGAATGTTTTTACAGAGATGGGCGCTGTATGACCCTAGATATATAGTGATAGACAGTATATTAACCTATGTGACATGTCACAATATCTTATTGATGAAAATAAGATACCAGATATACCAAGCAAATTTCCTAAATTTGCTTGTAAGAGATAAGTGAACTGTAGATATGTAGATATAAATCCCAAAGTACCCCTGTTAACCCTTTTCGGGCCTAGTTCCTAGGCCTTTTGTGTATCCATATAGTACTCTTGAGCTACCATCCACAGGATGGATACCGTGTGCTCAATAAAGTTGCCACTTCGGTGGAAAAATCTAATTCTGAACCTGGTGGGTTTAGCGCTTAGTTTTCATTATAATAATGTATATTGATGAGTAACAAATTTAAAATAGTCATTTGAATGGCACTTTCTGTTAATGTTTGAATTCCTCTCATATCAATAAATCCTCATATACTGTAGTTTCTCACAGCTCCATCCACTCTTCCATGATATTTTTTTTTTTATGGTATGAATGACCTGATGAAAATGTTTTTCATGCTTTTCACTCGCCTCCCAAATCTGGTCCAGAATCCAAGTGTGAGTGGATAAGTATACTTTAAACTACAGTTTAAGGTATATTGTGCACCTTAGCCTTCTACATTGTTTAATATAGAAGGCCAGTTGTTTATTGGCTTTTGTTCTTAATGTCACCAGAAACCTATGTGCTACAAAGCTAAAATGCATTTTAATAATTATTTTGTCTTTCATTTCTTTAGTTGCAGTGCTGTATGACCCTGGTAGGTTTAGCGCTTCTTTTTAATAATAATAATAATAATAATAATTTCTTTAGTTATCAGTGACCACCTAATGTGTAGGCTAATAAATATGGCAGTAGGCGTATTGATTAGGATACAGTAAATTGCACTCTGAGACAAAAATCAAAACCTCAGCACAGAATTCATTAGGACCAAAGTCACTTCGGATACATAATTTTTTTAACAGTAGTTTTGATGGGACACGTGTTATGGGCATGTAAATAGTATATTAAACACGTATGTAGATTTCACCTAGGATAATTCAATAAAGTCAAAGAGTGGAACTTATTTCCATCAGGCCTAGGGCCAGCGTTGTATACCAAATGTAACAAAAAAAGTCAAGAAACTGTACAAGCTCAACTAGTAACTATGAGACTATAAGCTCTATTGGTAGCCATGAGTTGGGAAACAATCTACAAGCTTTACTGCCAGCCATGAGACTAAAGATAGTAAAAGCTCTACTGACAGTCATGCATTGGGAGACAGTCTACAGGCTTTACTAACAGCCATGCATCTAAAGACAGTCTACAAGCTCACGTGCATATTGCATCTCGGTAACATAGTCCAAGCATCTGTATTGTACACCTGCATTGCCTCTACATCTTGAGAGTCTTTAGGTATAGCTAATAGGCCTTTTTTAGCTTGATTGCAGGAAAGGGGCTGGAACATCATTGAAATATGTCTAATTTTTATCATATTGGAGTGAAGTGCTAAACCCATTGGGGTCATAGCACCTGGGAAATAGGAAGCAGTCAGGTTTGATGTGGACTCTTGATCCAGTTATTTGGATCAAGAGTCCATTGAGGGAAGTAAAGGTCATACAGCACATATGGAAATGGAATGTAATCAGGTTTGATCTGAGCAAGCAGAGGGTAACTCACATCACTTGGACTGGAGTAGAAACAAGCATTCACTGATCAAACTGCATGTGCTGTTGAAGTGTGGGGCAAGGTAACACTTATGAAGAGATTCAGGGAAACCAGTTAGCTAAATTTGAGCCTTGGAGGTTGTTAGTACAGTATAGTGCCGGCATTTTGAAAAAGGAGTGGAAATGATGCAACTCAGACAGAAAGAAAACAGTTCGTTGTCCTCTAAGGCAGACCAATGCTGTTACCAGCAGTTGTGTTTGTGGAACAATACTGAAAATAGTTTAAAAATAAGGGCTTCCTGGGAGATTGGTAGTGTGAATAGTGGCTGAATCTGCTTATCCTTAACATCGGTGTGTCCAGGGGCCCAACAAAAAATTATTTCTGCTTGCTAGAAATTTGGCATAACCACTGTTGTATACATAGCCTGATGAGATGCAGGGTATAGTCTTATTTCAGGATAGCTTGTAATGCACTTTGAGTCTGAAAAAGTGAATGAGGTGGACATGGTTGTAATGTGTATGAGAGCAATGATGACAATGACATATAACTCCTGTAAAAAATCTGGCTGCTTTTAGCAAATGTCCTTGTATTTGGATAGACAGTTATGTATCCTACTCTATATTTTATGAAGAGATTGTTAAAGAAGTGGAATTTAATTCCTTTTTATTGTTTCTACCACTATATTTTTGGTAACAGATATATATCAAAGGTTAAGATCTTAACTTTTTTAAAAACCTAAGACCTCTCAACAAAGCCATAGTGCATGACTTATTTTCACTAAAATTCTTTCCTTGGATGCATTCGCCTACAAAATTACATTATTAAAACAAGAGATAAACCCACATGGGCCACACAGCTCCATCATAATAACTGACAAATACCTGTGTATCTGTTGTACTGCTAAGTAAACACGAACAGCATGTGTAGAGACGCCCATATGTACTGGTCAAGTGATAAACCAGGTTACAAATATGATTTTAAAAATCTAGAATTTATTGGAATTTTTCAGAGTTTAATAAAATAAAAATGGACAATAGGCAGAATAAAAGGATATGTTTAATGAAATCTTCATACTGTTTATGCCCAAAACTTTATTATTGTATTTAAGAAATATGCTTGAAGACAGTGTTTTATTGACAAGATTTTCTACGAAGTAAGCATTTTAATCTTATATAAATTTTTCCTCTAAAATATTTAATAAATATGGAAGTATAGAGTCTAAAACATTTAATCCAATACTGGTGGCTTTCAAGCCTTGTTTAGAAACACACAATAACTCACTTTCTTGAAGCCACAAAGTTCTTTCATGAAATATGTCAAAAAGAGAAATTTGTGGCAAGAACATGCTCCATTTTTCTGCAGTTATTCCCTCACTTGTTCTTAGTCCTGAGGCCATATACTCACTAACAATGTCAAGTACTGTCTGAGCAGTAACCTTTCGTACCCCAGATCCTTTAATTTGAACTTCTCGTAACCAGTTTGCTGGATCTGCAGCATTAACTCTGGCTTCACGAATTGTGCAACTGAAGAAATTTTTGGAGAGTTGGATTGTAGGGTTAAAAGAATTCTCTTCATAAATTCTAGAACCACTCCACATTTTATCTTGTTCAGAGCACTTGCTGGAGTATACATTATAAACCACATTATTTTTTTCAATGGTATTCTTGGGCACTACTCGACTGTGAGCTCCTGGACCAATACCAATGTATTGTAAGCCTCGCCAATATGATTTGTTGTGAACACTTTCAGCTGAGCACCCATGGGCAAAATTGGAGACTTCATATCTCTTAAAACCTGAATCACCTAATAAAGACACTGCAACTTCATAAAGGTCTGCCATTTGGTCTGCACTGGGCACTTTTACCTCTCCTGAAAAAAAAAAGTGTTTCACATCTTATTAGATGGTCATACTATTTGCAAAGTTTATGTTACACTCTTTAAGGACACAAACTTCTGGATGGTAAAACTTATTCATATTTTATAAATAAATTTCAACATAATTACACAAAAGAAGTTATCAGACTGTGTGGTATAATTTACTTTTAGATGCAGAACAAAAGATATGATGGAAAGAATAAAAGTCACAGTAGTGTTGCTGTAACAATTCATAAATAACTATCACCTTTAAAAGGCAAATACAGATAATGTTTTGGTCTGTCCTTGACCAATATCAAGTTACAACTTATGAAGGATGGAGCAAAATGTTAGTTATGGTGAATGATGAAAAAATACAGTATGATATTGATACAATTTTTACTGATGCACAACTGGATAAATATTTAATTATGTGAAGAGTCAATTATGAATAAAAATTTCAAGAGATAATGATCAGGAAAATATATAAAAAAAAAAAAAAAATCTTGATAGTGGACTATGCTTTATGCATTACACATTGTAAAATAAAGCCTTAATGCTTGAGATTTTAACCTTCAGTAGGTATCAGAAACCAGAATAATAAAATACTGGGAAATAACAACTAACCTGATAGATGTTGATTAAACAGCTTCGTTCCACGCTCCAGTGTCAACTGATACAATGATATGTGGTTATCACAGAAGCTCAGTATGGTCTCCAGCTCTTTTACCAAACTGAAATAAAACTGCTATTAATTTGTACCAAAATGAATATTAGTATGCTACTCAATATAATTTCTTATACTCGCCATCTCATACCAAGGCAGGGTGGCTCAAGAAGGAAACCCATTCACCATCATTCCTTCAACAGCTGTTTTGCTAGAAATGTATAACATCACAATTCAAATGACTCTCTGAACTGCCTCTCCTCACTCATTAAACCTTCAAAATGCACACACGGGACTTCACACCTCCAGGACTCAAGTCTTGCCAACCAGTTTTCCCAAATCCTTTATAAATGTTACCACAGTCATATAAATAACATTTAGAGAACACTAGTATGCAACTTCATATCAATAATATTTAAAGAACATTAATATGAAACCTCTTATCAATATTATCTAAAACAAGTTCAATTATTAATTAACCAGGTCTCTATTTATAAAACCTCATGTATAATGGGCACATTTTTTTATTATATGCTTTAGTTTTACCAACCTTCCTGTAGTCTGATTGGGTCTTCCAAAAATTAGATCAACAGACACTCGACCTGGAAAAAGCTGTTTAGCAATATTTATGCAATGAAGAGCCTCTGGGACACTGTGGTCACGGTTAAGTAGCCTTAAAGATGTCTCATCAAGAGCCTGAAATAAAAAAAATTGAAAGGTAATAGTGTAATAATAATATTACAAAAAAAATGGTAAAAAAAAAAAAGATTTTTTTACTCGCACGTAGTTCAAGGTTACTCATCCATATTTTAAAATACTAGGCAAAATAAAAGTAACAATATCCTCTTAAAAAGCCAGGAACATTATTTCTTCCAATAATAGGTAGGAAACTAGTTTGCTTGGTAGCTTATGGCAGCACTATGGATGACAAAACTAAACCATACCCCCGGCCGGGATTGAACCCGCGGTCATAGTCTCAAAACTCCAGCCCGTCGCGTTAGCCACTAGACCAGCTAGCCACAATAAGATTCATCCAACTAGGTATATTTCTACACCATAGGAAAGTTAGCACAGGCACCTCTGTGACCACAAATGCAAGTTTTTACAGACGAATCTCCAGCTAGCGTGGCCGTGACGAACTCTAGCTCAAGTCCCTTCACTGCTGTCAACATGACTCAAGAAATCGTAGTGACACGATTGCAAATAAACCATACCCCCGGCTGGGATTGAACCCGCGGTCATAGAGTCTCAAAACTCCAGCCCGTCGCGTTAGCCACTAGACCAGCTAGCCACAATAAGATTCATCCAACTAGGTATATTTCTACACCATAGGAAAGTTAGCACAGGCACCTCTGTGACCACAAATGCAAGTTTTTACAGACGAATCTCCAGCTAGCGTGGCCGTGATGAACTCTAGCTCAAGTCCCTTCACTGCCGTCAACATGACTCAAGAAATCGTAGTGACACGATTGCAAATAAACCATACCCCCGGCCGGGATTGAACCCGCGGTCATAGAGTCTCAAAACTCCAGCCCGTCACGTTAGCGTTACCCCCGGCCGGGGGTATGGTTTATTTGCAATCGTGTCACTACGATTTCTTGAGTCATGTTGACGGCAGTGAAGGGACTTGAGCTAGAGTTCGTCACGGCCACGCTAGCTGGAGATTCGTCTGTAAAAACTTGCATTTGTGGTCACAGAGGTGCCTGTGCTAACTTTCCTATGGTGTAGAAATATACCTAGTTGGATGAATCTTATTGTGGCTAGCTGGTCTAGTGGCTAACGCGACGGGCTGGAGTTTTGAGACTCTATGACCGCGGGTTCAATCCCGGCCGGGGGTATGGTTTATTTGCAATCGTGTCACTACGATTTCTTGAGTCATGTTGACGGCAGTGAAGGGACTTGAGCTAGAGTTCGTCACGGCCACGCTAGCTGGAGATTCGTCTGTAAAAACTTGCATTTGTGGTCACAGAGGTGCCTGTGCTAACTTTCCTATGGTGTAGAAATATACCTAGTTGGATGAATCTTATTGTGGCTAGCTGGTCTAGTGGCTAATGCGACGGGCTGGAGTTTTGAGACTCTATGACCGCGGGTTCAATCCCAGCCGGGGGTATGGTTTATTTGCAATCGTGTCACTACGATTTCTTGAGTCATGTTGACGGCAGTGAAGGGACTTGAGCTAGAGTTCGTCACGGCCACGCTAGCTGGAGATTCATCTGTAAAAACTTGCATTTGTGGTCACAGAGGTGCCTGTGCTAACTTTCCTATGGTGTAGAAATATACCTAGTTGGATGAATCTTATTGTGGCTAGCTGGTCTAGTGGCTAACGCGACGGGCTGGAGTTTTGAGACTCTATGACCGCGGGTTCAATCCCGGCCGGGGGTATGGTTTATTTGCAATCGTGTCACTACGATTTCTTGAGTCATGACAAAACTATAAATTATCTTTTCCCCACTAACACTTTCCTCTGGTTTATGTGCTCTCATGTATACCTTGGTATGATATAAAAAATTTTTGATATCTACTTATTCTTTATATATTTTCCTACATACAGCAATGATATAATCAGAAAGGTTTTCCAAGAAAATAATTTTCTGTACTGTATACTTTTAAATGATTTTATCACATCCAAAATCACAATTTCAAATCAAGCAGTGTCTTTATAATACATGTATAATAAAGGCCACAGAGAAAGTCTCACTATCTACCCCGCCAACTCGTGCCCTAGCATTCTGGTGTCACTGTGCAAAAGCTGCTTTGAGAAGTTGAAGGAGGCTGCTAAGCTAGGTATAACTGACTGCTTAGAAAAAGTAGTCCTGTATGTATCCTTGTGCTCCTTACTTTACAATGGTTCAACTTATGATATTTTGACTTTATGATGGCATGATAGCAATTAATGTTTGTTCCATGCTTCACAACATTCTTCAGTACTAGTGTGCTTTCAGCTGACTACATTACTGGTGAATACCTGTACAACATATCGCTACACGTACTGTATTTGTATTATCCTTGGGTAAACAAGTCAATATACTGTAAAACTTTTTTTGCATTGTACAGTACAGACTCCCCCCAACTTACAAACAAATTATATTCCAGAAGGCTGTTCATATCTTGAATTGTTTGTAAGCCGTTATTTTACCATTTTTCTATTGTTACGATTATTATTTTTATTATTATCATTATTGTTACTGGTCTGTCTCTGCGCCATTGTTCGTTGAAAACTTAAAGACAATACTGTACAGTATTAGTAATGTACTGATACTTTACAGTCTGTTCGTGTGTCTGAATGTCTGTTCGTATGTCCGAATGTTCGTAAGTAAGGGAAGCGTCTGTACTGCACATTTATTAACAGGATAAACTTGTACAGTGGACCCCCAGTTCACGATATTAATCCGTTCCTGAGAGCTCATCGTAAACCAAAATTATCGGAAAGCGAATCAATTTTCCCCATAAGAAATAATGGAAATCAAATTAATCCGTGCAAGACACCCATAAGTATGAAAAAAAAAACTTTTACCACATGAAATATTAAGTTTAATGCAATATAATAATTACAATAACAATAACTATGTACTCCTTGAATTCATGCACATATTTTTCAGCTGCTTTTTGGTCTGAACTGGCAGCCTCACCATGCCTAATCACACTATGTATGCCACTACGATTCTTAAATCTTTCAAACCAAACTTTGCTGGCCTTAAATTCACTCACATCACCACTAGTTGCAGGCATTTTTCTAATTAAATCCTCATGCAACTGCCTAGCCTTTTCACAAATGATCGCTTGAGAGATGCTATCTCCTGCTATCTATTTTTCATTTATCAACACCAATAACAGTCTCTCAACATTTTCTAACACTTGCGGTCGCTGTTTCATAATCACAGTTGCACCTTTTGCAAGAACAGCTTCCTTGATTGCTGTTTTCCTGCTCACTATAGTAGAGATGGTTGATTGGGATTTACTATACAACTTGGCCAGGTCCAACACACGCACTCCACTTTCATACTTTGCAATTATCTCTTTCTTCATTTCAATAGTCATTAGCACCCTTGGTCTCGATGGGTTGGCACTAGAAGCTTTCTTGGGGCCCATGGTGACTTATTTTGCAGAAACCAGCACCAAAAACAGTGATAATATGGATAATATGGAATGTACCAAATGTATCCTTAGATGCGCGCACACTGGCTGGCTTGTAAACACTGGCACACATGGGGCAGTTCAGGCCACACGTGGACACGTCTCGTATGAATCATATCGCATACTGGGTTTTGTAACAGGAACCAAGGCAAATTTTTTGCGATATAATGCTTCGGATACCAGATTTATCGGATACCGATGGCTTCGCAAACCGGGGTCCACTGTATTCATTTATTTACTTTTCAATTCTGGTATGTATTTTGTTAGTTACAGTAATTATTTGTTTACTTATTCAGTGACAGTAGTTATTTACCATATCATATTTGTATCAGACTTACGATATTTTCAACTTGCAATGGGTTCATCAGAACGTAACCCCATCATAAGTCGAGGAGCACCTGTACATTTCATGAATGATCATTATCAAGCCATGAAGTAGAGGAAGTCTGTTGTATCATGTTATCAAGGAAAATATGGTTGAGTTTATTATGCCCAGAGGAGAATTTGTCAGTGCATTGTTTGAAATAACACTTAAGCTATGAATGTAATGTTTTTCTCTGTGCCAGTATACTTAACAAAGTCTTTAGGATTTGAAGGTATAGGGAGATCTCAGTATTAAAGGCTGATCAGTGAATGCTTCACTCATGTGATAAAAAAAATAACAAAATTTGTTGGAAACAGCTGTAAAATTACCACTACATCAGTCAGTATCACCAGTGGGAGATGTCATAGGCAGTAATTATCATTATAATGCTGCATTCACAGTAAAGTGCTCAACTCGTATGGGTTATACAGCACCTAGAAAATGGGAGACAATCAGGTTTGATCCAAGCAATGGAATGGTAGCTCAATTTCTTGGATCAAGAGCCCTTCACTAGCATGGCACCCTCGTCCTTACTAGAAAGCCATTTTAGAAATCTCTGTTTACCACACTAAGACCAAAGTACTGTAACACTGTTCACACTACCTGCACACCAATGGAGACTCTGTTCACACCAACACTTTTGAAATCTTTCAGTTTATTAGTTTCAAATGAGGTAGGATTTACTTCAAGCGTTATTTCGGCATTTCCTTCTAAGGAGCACACTGCTTGGATTGTTTCCAACACTTTCTGCAGAGTAAAAAGTAAAAAGTGTAAAATTTTTTTATATGAAAGCATAATTTACAAATTTTATTTTTTGGTTAGGTACAGTAGTTTTGAAGTGCTCCTACATTAATTCTTATTATTAAGATGGATACAGTATACTGTACCCAGTTATTTTCACAGGTGCAACAATCATGTAATGAATCATATATACATGTACTTACTCCTCTGATAGTTCAAGCCTCATTATAAAAAAAAATTTCCTGTATGCATTTAAATCACAAATTTTAATATAATTAGATTCACTGTTTATTACTTTTATATCATGTTGTTTTTTTTTCAAGATATAGGTGCAAAAGCATGTCTTCTTCAGATATACTAAAACTAAGAGCTAAAATTATAGCCTTGTACAGTATATGTATTATGGAAAACTATATATTTCATCTTTGATACTTGCCTAATATTTTATATATGTATACTTTTTTTTTGTTGTTTATTTTTCAATAAATACAATTCCTTACACCATTATTAATAAAGTATTTGTTTAGCCTAAACAAAATATACATTTAGAACTATTTGGAAACTGCTCAAACAAGTGAAGTATCAGAAGACTTATTATGTGTATACATAATGTGGGCATGAATAACTAGTGAAAGCTGAAAGTGGGAAATAACAATGCTAAATACAGTAACAGACATCTATGAAGAAAATGTAATATAAAATAAAAAATAAACATTTACTATTTGACTTATTCTTACCTCTATCATTTGTGGCCTTGCAAGGGATGGTGTGCCACCTCCAAAATACACTGACTTCACATTAGTAATGTAAGAGTGCTGTAGGCTGTGCTCCAGTTCCTTAACCTGAAATAATATTTCTTATTACAACCAACAGAACTACCATACCATACAAATCTAAAACTGCATTTTGAATGCTGAAAAATGCTGTTTTGCATCAAAGATCCTGAGGGACTTATTTCTGACTTAATACTGTACCTACTTCTAGACTTAGTATGGTTTTACATGTTCCATTATTCCTAGTTCTGCCATTTTTTTTTTTTGTCTCTGCTTATCCATTGTTGCTCTGTAGCTATAGCTGTTGTGAATAGGTGACTGGCCATTATCTACACTTAAACAGATAGGTCAGTACTGGTGTAGTTCCTATAACATTCATGTGTCTTTATCATTATTTTTAACAACTGGATCTTTCTTACACTCATTCTTGATCATATGATTAATATTTACAGTTTTTCTGCTTGATTATAATTTGCTAAATAAATTTTAGATTAGTATAAAATTCAATAAACTTATCTAAGTGTTTACAGATTTACAATAAATTCTAACAGTCTGACTCCAATAAATGTACTCGTAGGAAAAATGTGACTAATTCCTCAGTGGATCTGTATAAAAGATGATGCTACCAACAATATGTTACATACAGTCAGAATATTACTACTACATGTCACTAAAATATTTCACCTACCATGAAATGCTCTAGTGTGTTATCCTGAACAGTCCAATAGGAATTTGGGTGAGGAATGAACTTGACAAAGTTGCAATATGAACATCTCTGTCTGCAGTATGGCCAGTGGACATACACTGATCCATTATTTATATACGATTTTGGGAGAGTTGCATGTGAAAGTCTCTGCTCTGCCTTCTTGAGGTCTTCATTGCTGAGGGTGTGTACGTGGGTTATACTAATGGAACCCACTTTTATAGGGTGCCATTTCCATATACTGTGAAGAACTTTCATCTTAAAAAAAATATATAAGTATGATTTAACTTATACAACAGGTATATATATGTGATGCCAAAGCATTACATAAAGACACTGAAATGGTTTTATTGGTAAGGTATAGGGATATTAATTCTAACTGTCATTATTAGGATAATAAGCACTAAGTGAAGTATATATTATTTATCAACAGAAGAGATGCTGTTTAAATCCTCATCTCAAACTGCAATTCTTTATTGTATGAAACAAAATGGATTCAGATACAAGTGTTATCAACACTAACCAATGAAAAGGTAGATCTCACAGATAGATAATCAAACATGGAAGAAAAATGATCTGTAAATTAATGAAGGTCAGTGAAATATTGTACACAGATCCTTTCTACTCCAAGTTTAACTTTACATCTATGCAGGATTTATTTATTCATGTAGATTCAGCTTCTGAAACAGGAAAAAACAATGTTTAGAAAACATGAAGACAATAGCTCTACCAATCAAGCAGCTGTATAGCCCTTGTGGCTTAGCGCTTCTTTTTTGATTATAATAACAATAATACCAATCATGCAGACACAAAAACTCCCTCACTCACTCATTACCAGCTAGCTGACTCAGTGGCTAAAACGACAGTCTAGTCTTGAGACTCTCTGGCCGCAGGTTCAAACCCCACCCGTGCTCTGGTTAGCTTACGTAGTATCGAGCCCGGCTTCCCGATGTACGGAGAATATATGTTACCCCAAAGATGGGCCGTGAAAGAAAAGGGAAAAGAAAACCCCTTGTAAATAGAAACAAGAACTATAAATTCTCAATTAGATCAGGTGGACCCCCTTGCCAAGCCCCAGTAAATCGAAATGCCCATACCCTCACCTGAGTTTAGTAATGGGCTTTAGTAATGCCGACTCGGCAGTGATTCCCGAGTTTGTACAAGTGATCTATACAGTTTACAGCCCTGGCGGGGACACGATGAGCATTCACGTTAGGTGGAATACCGCTTACAACTCTATGGAGCGGCCCTATAACAAGGTCCCGGTGAATGGTCTGAGCGGGTTCTTCGTCTTGTTGGGTTTGCAAGGGCCACCGACAGCTTGCAGGTCAAGGCCGACATCACCCAACAAGCATGAGCTGTTCTCTAAGCTTGTCTGCATCACCCGACAAGCCCTTAAAGCAACTTATGTGGCCACACTACAAATGTGGCAGAGAAGCAATCATACCAACTTTAGAATGATAACTCTGACGTCACATATTATTATATATATATATATATATATATATATATATATATATATATATATATATATATATATATATATATATATATATATATATATATATATATATATATATATATATATATATATATATATATATATATATATATATATATATATATATATAAAACTGGTCAATTAGCAAGAACTAATTTAAAATTAAGTCCTTTCTGAAATTTTCTCTTATACGTTTAAAGATATATTTTTTTTATTAATGTTAACATAAAAAATTTTAATTTTTCACCCAAAGAATTTTAGAAAACTTACCTAACCTTATTATAACAAAAGCAATTTATTTTAGCCTAACCCAACTAAATATATTTTAAATACGTTTACAATAATTTAGTAATAAACAAACACAATCAAATATATTTGTTTCGTTAGGTTCAGAATGATTTTGGCGAAATTATTGCATACACAAATTTTCACTTGTCCTATATGGCAAGATGAAAGTTGCTATTTAAGATCACAAGTTCTGCCTATTCGGCACGACATATATTGAAAGAATGATGAGAAGTATGATTGCTAAACACATTGAATAACATTTTCACAAGCAGTGTCAACATCAACTTAGATCAGGATGTTCCCGTATTTCACAGCTGTTAATTAAACCACTAAAATATATGCAACATTTTGTTTGTTAGGGAAAATGAGAAAACAGTTTGTCAAGCTGGACTTAGACATAGATAACCCGCTACATAGACTGTTGCTCACATGACTCAGTCTTTCCACTATATTATATCAGTCAGGACTTAGCGCTTCTTTTTTGATAATAATAATAATATAATAATAATAATATCAGTCAGGAGTTTACCCAGAGATATTTCCGGGGGTCAACGCCCCCGCAGCCCGGTCTGTGACCAGGCCTCCTGGTGGATCAGAGCCTGATCAACCAGGCTGTTATTACTGGCTGCACGAAATCCAACGTACGAGCCACAGCCCGGCTGGTCAGGTACCGACTTTAGGTGCTTGTCCAGTGCCAGCTTGAAGACTGCCAGGGGTCTGTTGGTAATCCCCCTTATGTATGCTGGGAGGCAGTTGAACAGTCTCAGGCCCCTGACACTTATTGTATGGTCTCTTAACGTGCTAGTGACACCCCTGCTTTTCATTGGGGGGATGGTGCATCGTCTGCCAAGTCTTTTGCTTTCGTAGTGAGTGATTTTCGTGTGCAAGTTCGGTACTAGTCCCTCTAGGATTTTCCAAGTGTATATAATCATGTATCTCTCCCTCCTGCGTTCCAGGGAATACAGGTTTAGGAACCTCAAGCGCTCCCAGTAATTGAGGTGTTTTATCTCCGTTATGCGCGCCGTGAAGGTTCTCTGTACATTTTCTAGGTCAGCAATTTCACCTGCCTTGAAAGGTGCTGTTAGTGTGCAGCAATATTCCAGCCTAGATAGAACAAGTGACCTGAAGAGTGTCATCATGGGCTTGGCATCCCTAGTTTTGAAGGTTCTCATTATCCTCCTGTCATTTTTCTAGCAGATGCGATTGATACAATGTTATGGTCCTTGAAAGTGAGATCCTCCGACATGATCACTCCCAGGTCTTTGACGTTGGTGTTTCGCTCTATTTTGTGGAAGGAATTTGTTTTGTACTTGATGAAGTTTTAATTTCCTCGTGTTTACCATTCGGATTTAATTTAAAAATTTTCTCATTGTTGAACTTCATATTTTTTTCCCTAAAAACGAAGATTTTACACATAATATGTGAAAACAGGTTTTCTGGTTTTCAAAAAACAAAGGATCATTTTTTTTACTAGGTGCCTAAATGTGACAAATATCCACGCTTATGAAAAAGGGGTTCCCAATGGCCCCCGGCTGTCTTCAAGAGGGGCGGGAAACGGACTAAAGTCGTACCAGCCCACCGGTTGTGGTTCACACGCTGGTTTACGTGGGGCCAACATAAAGCAGGTTGTTAGGCGCTATCCAGCACGAGGCTGGCTATGGAAGGGCCGCTGGGGCGTTTGACCCAAAGAATCCCCTCAGGAGTGGGTTGTGCATATGGCATAGTGGGGTGTTTGTGTATACTGGCATAGTGGGTGTGCAGTACTGAGCCTAGTGTGGTGTTGTGCAGTACTGAGCACTAGTGTGGTGTTGTTTTGTATGAGCACTAGTATGGTGTGCGTATGGCACTAGTGTGGTGTTGTGCAGTACTGGCCTGTGTGGTTTTGTGTAGTACTGAGCACTAGTGTGGTGTTGTGTAGTATGAGACTGTGTGGTTGCATACTGGAATAGTGTGGGTGTTGGCAGTCTGGCACTGCTACAAGCGTATTAAAAACGGAGTTTTTTTGGGGGTATCCCAAATGAGGAAATCTGTGGACAAAAATCAAAGGGTTTTAAAAAGAGGAAAAACATCAAAGTGCTTCATAGAAAACCGGGAAGCTTTCTCAACAGTGGGAACATAAAAGTCTGGGTAAAGGGCATCCCCTTGATACTGGCCATGTAGTCACAAACGGAAAGGCTGGGGTGATGTCCTGGAGTCAGAAATGTGGGGTGATAGTGCTGTTGGGAGACAGTAAGGTGAAGCTGGAGGTGCTGTCCTGGGGAACAAAAATGGTGAAGTGGGATACTGCCCGGGGAGACAGTAAGGGTAAAAGTGGGATTTTGTCCAGGTAGGGGAATTGTACGCGGAAGGAATACTAAAAAGACCTCATAGGGGACAGGGAGCCATAGTGGGAAACAAGTGTAGTCAAAGATAAGATAAAACCAATTTGAAAACTAAAAATCCCGGGAAATAGCAAACAGGGACTCCAATAGCAATAGTGGGGTTTTAAATTACAAAAAAAACTGGTGGGAGCCCCTTTTTGGGTGTGGGGGATAGAAGTGACAGGGAAACATGCACCAACGGGGAAATACAGTCCGAAAACCCAAGGAAAGCGGAAACCAAACCCGTGCACATACTATGCCTTGGTATCTGTGGAGGGGAAAAATTGGAAAAAGATGGGACATGAACTATGACCACCCTAGAAAATCCCATCCCCATTGACAACAGGAAAATGCAAATCCCTTTCCCCTGTAAGCTTTTTCCCCCTAAAATGTGTACCTTTCGTCGGGAAAGCGTGCTATAACTTAAATTGCCAGGCTCCCATTAAAGGGGGGGCAAAAAGATAAAAAAACATCCGGGCCCATGGGAAAACCGGGGTAGCCAGCACTAAAGGGGAGAGGTTTTTTAGTGCCGGGAAAAGAAAAAAAAACTGGCGGGAAATGGCGAAATCGGGGGCACCAAATCCAGTCTTTCCTGGAGGGAACCACAGTCGATGGCCTCCACTCCAAAAACCAACAGATACAGATATAAAAGCCGGAAAAAAAATCCCCCCCCCGACCCCAAAAATACCCCCAGTCCCTAATTCTTCTTTGAAATATACAGGGTCTAAAGCCGCAACAAAAAAACAAAATACCTTTATCCGTGGATGCTTGCGAGGAAAGGGAAAGTTTTGCGGGTTTCACTGAGACCCCCATAAAGGATCACTTGGAAACAAATTTGGATCCCAGGGTTTCACCTTAAAAATGTGCAGAGTGAACAGGCAAAAGGGGGGGGTTGGCCTGTACATTGCAGAGTCAGTTTGCACAGAACGGGTTAATGCCCCAAAAGATGTAGGGAAGTTTTTTGCAGTAAAGGTCGAGAACCCAAAACCCAGTCATTGTGGTTTGTCTACAAAACCCCCGGATGCAACATCCCAGCAATTCCGGAAAAAATGTTAAAAATTGACCATGTCTGGAAAATTTTTCCCGCTCCTGCACCCAACTTTGCTCCTGGGGGCTTCAATTAAGGCACCTAAAATGGGGAATATAGAAAATTATATTTTTTTGCAGTAAAAACACCAGGAGGCAGCTCTGATGAAAATCACACTCCCCGAGCTTTTAAAACTCTGCACAAAATTTAATTTAAACCAGCAAATAATAGGGCCTACTAGACTGGAGAATCATAACCTCATCTTCACAACAATGTGATCTGATAAAAAATGCACCTATCAAAAAAAATATACTCAGATCACAACAAATTGGGTTCGGACATGTATGCGTGGAGCCCCAGACCCACAAAATGAGTAGTCAGAGGGAGCATTCACCAAATTCAACTTCAATAACAAAAAAAAAAAGTGGGACCAAATAAACCAAGTCTAACCCATATAAGCTGGGAAATATACAGGCAAAACAGACCCAAATTAAGCCTAGAAGATTAACTCGGTGGGACTCGATGTATGCACAAAGGGTTTTCCTCTAAGAAAAAGGAGGAGTGGTTTTTTAAATAGAAAAAAAAAGGGGTCCTTTACGGCGAGGAAAAGAATAAAAGAGGGCTAAAAAAGGTCAATTATTGAAAAATGCGGGGAAAACCGGTCAGAGAAATAGCAAGCATCGAATTTAAACTAAAAGAATCCTTTAGGAGTGGGAAAAAGAGGGAAGAACTAAAAGCCTAAATGAAAACGAAAGAAACCCCCAAATATTTCTTCTCCCATGCCCAATCAAAATCGAGAAAAACGTCCGTATTGGGCCCCTACTTAAACAAGTGGGGCTACAAGATGACGCAAAAGGAATGAGTGAGCAACTAAAGTCCCCAAAATGACTCATTTTTAGCAAGCCGCTAACCAGACTGAGAGTCGAAGATCAAATGTTTTTTTTATGAGAGAGCCACAAAATTTTTTAAAAACAACCTACCGATGTTATCCTGACGCAAAAAAGGGCTTCGAACAGGCGATAATGACATCCCCTGCACTCTGCCCCCGGGCCAGATCATGGAACTCTGTGTTTATCAAAACGAAGAAGCCCCCATCCAGCCCTTTTTCCCTCCCATGGAGAGGGAGCATGGCACGGGGGGGGCGTCCCCCAGTTATAAAAAAACAGACTAGCCCCATCCACAAAGGGGGCAGTAAAGCAACAGCAAAGAACTACAGACCAATAGCACTAATATCCCATATCATAAAAATCTTTGA